GTTTATTTGTTCATTCACCTGAAAAGGAGAGGTGCGCACTTAGTACCGCCTTTTTTTTGCAAGAGTATATGCATGCAACACTAAACTCAACAACTGTATGTGAGACAGATCGACTGAGGCGTTGCGGTAAAACCAGAAGAGAGAGGCAGCTAGCCACCTTGAAGGTGTTTGGGGGCGAGCTGAGCGAAAAGAGGGAGGGGTGTTCTTGATGCTGGTGGTGACGGCGCTGTTGAAGGCCAGGTTCACACTGTTTAACCAATGCAGCAGAAAAGGATATCTCTGGTCTACGGAATATAGACAAGGCAGAAAAAAGTAGACTGGACGACGAGGGTATCGATCCCTCTACCTCTCGCATGCTAAGCGAGCGCTCTACCATTTGAGCTAGACGCCCTTGTGGGGTCACTTCAACCAAAGGCAAAGAGAATACAGTACGGAGGCGAGGTGCATGCATAAAAGACACCCAGCTTCATTTCGCTTTTGCACTCAAAAAGAGGGTGCATCCCTCAGCACTCCCAACCAGAGTTGCAGCCCTTCCCGGTAGGGGGAGTGGAGAAGGGTCCCAAGAAAAAGTAGGTACGATATTCTAACTCGACTAGAGATACTCTGCAGGACGCGCCGGAGAAATGCACGCAGTCCGTGACGGCCTCACAAAAAGTACACTAACAGCCTACAAACAGCAAAGTGAGAATAGCTGAAGGCAAAGCTTTCAGATGCACTTAATGAGAAGGAGCATCCAGCAAGCCGGACACTCGCTGGGTGGATATCCAGTGTATCGAATCGGCGCCGTTTCCTGCGCTTCTCTACTCTCTGTTGCGAGGCGTTCGTAGCACATTTCAACCCCCAACGCTCCTCCGTTACCAGCAGCGAGTTCAGTTACATATATCTTTTCATTTGCGTTTGATATCGAACTATATGGTCTTTTTTTTTGGTTGTGAAGAGGCAGATACGCTTCAGGGTCAGGCGGAGAATGCAGCACGCGAGAAGCAGAGAAAATTTTCAACACTTTGAGGCCCCTCAGTAGCTCGTCAGAACTCAAGTAGAAATACAAGTACAGAATTCAGACAGACCGAGCCTCAGTGCTACATCTTCCGGAGGTTAACCCTCTACGGAGACATAGCTGGGCCTCTTTTTTACTCACAAACAAATATCGTAGACGGCTATAAATATCTCTTCAGCTTTTGCTTGCTCGTATACGCAGAGAGGGTTTCTATAGGGCAAGCATCTCGGCCTTGTCCAAGGAGCGTCGCGACCTGCAATGAAGCCAAAGAAGAGGAGAAGAGTTTCCCAAGCGCCGCTAGCCTGCCCTCCCCCTCTCCACGCATGCTGAGCGCAGCAACTCAGAGCCTGGTGTTCCTGGGGGGGAGGCAGCCTGAGAGGAGTTGCAGTGCACGCCGCTGCAGCTAGCCATGCTAGCCAGGCTGCTAGCTACGCACAGCGAAGCTTCCCCCATTGCCCGCTCTAT